CACACAACACTCCAGTTCGGTACTTATTAAGCCTTTTTGGTTCTTTAAAATTTAGAGTTGCTTACATGTAGAGTTGTAAGTAGTTATTTCTGTGTAGACAAGAACTCAATTGTCATTTGCGCAATAAAATAGGTACTGTTAGAATTAGGTCCTCATTTCACCCCAGTGCTTATTACAGGGTGGGCGAAAAGGCAAGTTGCTAGAAGATGATTTTAATGATTTTCTTTTTGTTTTTGTGAAAACCATGACACTAAACACATCTTGGTCTCAGACTAAAAAGCGTATCAAATACCATCCCTGGAGTTCAAGATGGGAAGATGTTGAATTTTCGATGTTGCCTTGTCTTACCCTCTAAGATATCTCATTAAGGATTCTACATTCTCAGTGAGAGAGTTGGGATAATGAAAATCAATTTTATACATACAGGTGCAATTTGAAATATGCCAAAAGCTCGTGTTGTTTGTTACAAAACTAGAAGAACACGTTGGAAGGATATGCTTTGAAAAAAATTATGTCAACGTTTCCACCTCTTTGAGGAGTTCTATATACAGATCAAGAGCAGAGCTAACATCGTGTGGCTCTGGAAGGTAATATTCATTCAAAACAGTTAGAGAAAATTCCTTAAAATCGTCACTGTAGTCAGGTGGGCACATTGTGGAGTGATCATAGAACTCCTGAACGTCATCCTCGTCTACATCCGTTTTGTAGTCATCTGTACGGTACAGGTGAGTAGTAAAACATGCAATCAGGTCGTCTCCGTAGACCACTGCTGTTTACAAATTTGCTTCACGATATTCTGTGTTGATTCCACAACTCTTCCACTTGATATAGCTCATTCCTTAGAATAGGCATGAAGCAAAATCGAATGCAGTGAACATGAACTGGATCTGAGTCAACAAATAGACCCAAGTCACGCAGATCTTTAAAAAAATTAATCCACCAACCAGAACCATCCTTAGCTAGATGGGACCAATAGGCTTCAATCCTCTGATTTGCTGTAGACCTGCCAGTGAGAAAACACCCAAGACCTGCATCCTCGTCACTATAGCTTGACCTCAGAAATGTATGTACTGCAGCAACCATGCTGTTCTCAGTTCCGTGATCTGATCTCACTTTTCTCAGTAAACCACCGACTTGTTTCACAGTATCAAGGTAAAATTTAGTGATAACTTCAGGGTTGTTATTTGTGGGACCAACCTTGAGCCAAATTAGCCTCCTTGAAAATCCATCGATGGCTCCATGCACACAGAATCCATAATGTTTCAGTTTGTCATAGCCATCGATGTGTCAGACAAAGTTGGGCCCTTTTGTATGGTATATTCTTCGGCGCTGTCTCTTCTTTTTTCTGCTCTCAACTCCCTCTGGATCCAGCTCTCTTAAAAGTTTCATGACTGTTATTTTCTTTACCAAGTATCCTTTCTTCCTCAGTCTGGCCCATATCCTGCGGTAGCCCACGAAGCAGCCACTGCCACCGAGCTCTCTCTCTATGATACCCTTAAGTTCATCAAGAGGTATATTCATGGAACGTCGTGACAAGCCTAAGGTTCGAAGTCGTCTTTTCAGCGTTAATATACTTATCGTTATTCCGTGTAGTTTTAAAAATTCCAGGATTTCCAGGTTGCTGTATCCCTGTTTAATTATAAAATAGCTCGAGATCAATTCCAACTGGTCATCCTGTAAAACACTATTCACATTCATACATGGTGAATAAACTGGTAGCGGCATTTTGTTACTTCTAGAACACTGTTAACTGCACGTCTCAAAGATTGCTGCTATGTTTAGTTCGAAAACTCCCGCTTTTTCTAGACTTGGAAGCCCGGATGTTACTGATGAAGTGCCAAGAGCGGAGCTTTCGTTCGAAAAGGTCAGAATTAAACTGTTCGGAGAATCAGAAGGGAACTGTGAAAAATCAGGAGGGAACTGTGAAAAATCAGAAGGGAACTGTGAAAAATCGGAAGGGAACTGTGAAAAATCAGAAGGGAACCGTGAAAAATCAGAAGGGAATTGTGAGCCTTCTGGGCCATCGTACATAACTGAATGAAAATAAGAAGACAAGAAATTAAATCGGCAATATCGTTCTTTGTTTTTATCCCGAGCGCGCGCTATAGAAAGCCATTTCAAAGCCAACTGTGAGAAGTGTCATTATGTTAGCGAATAGAAAGCAAGGTTAGTCGTACACGGTACGTTAATCCTTCGACAATTTTATTATTTACCTCGTGCTTGATTTTACATTAATTTTCGAACTTTTTAAACAAGCTTCACACTATTTAAGGATAATAGTGGTATTTCGCTGAATTTACAAGCCGTTTATCGTTAACATCTTTTTTCAAAATTCCAAATAATTCATAGTTCCGACCTGTCAATCAGCAATGCGGAATCAACCAATCAGAAGGAAGCGTGCGGCATGCTGCCATCTTGTCCCACAACTTTTTTGAAAACATGGAGGGCGCGAACGGCGGAGTGTCCAGCCCTTCAGACAATTTGGCGAAAATTCCAGACCAGATTTCGGTTTCCTTTCTTCCAGATCATTCTGATCTTTCACAGAAGGTTTTGGAAAAGGGTTTGAACTATTTTATTCAAGGATTTGTTCATGATATTAAGATTTGCCACGCTCCAAACACTGGAGCTAGTGCACCTTCTGGTACAAGAGTTGATGCGAAATGCTGGCGATCAATGAAAAAACACGAAGATCCGCACAAACTGCATCTAGAAATCAACGACAACAAGATATCAGAAGCCGTGTGTACTTGCAAAGTTGGGTAGGTTAAGGTTTTTTCGTTTTTTTAATTTTAATTTTGATAATAAAGCACAACATTATTTTCAAACAACAAACATATGAAATACATATATATGAACTGCGGTTATGAAGCGTATATGTGCACGATCCTTCGCAGTAAAGCACTATTTAAGCAATAGTGAAAATCAGACCTGAAAAAAATTCAGGCCTGTACGGGATTCGAACCACTGACCTCTGCGATACTAGTGCAGCGCTCTACCAATTGAGCTAGCCC